GGAAACAAGCAGCTGGTATGGAGGGTGGAGGAGCCTCTGGCATTTAAAGATCTAATCAACAAAGAAGGTTAAATCATGGAAATTTGAAAGGGTCCCTTCTGTCTCTTCCTCCCCCCCCTTCCAAAATGCAACACCAAGTATATTTGTTTTAATCGGACTCTCCACTCCATGGAGCCAAATCCAAGTTGACCTCAAAGGGGTTGGGGGTCAAGAAAGCTCCGCACTCCAATATCATTCGACCCGCTGAATCATTTCCTGTTTTCAGCTATTTTTTGAAGAATTCTCTGCAGCCGGCTGGAAATATGTGCAGATCCCAGCAAACTTGCTGGCCGGGAGGCCCTGGGAAATTTCCTGAGTTTGTTACATTTGTCAGGGAAAGAGGGGCAGCTGTGTGTATCTTTGGCCGTGTGTGTCTGTGTGTTGCACAGGACACTGCATGAGGTGCTAGGGGAGAAAAAAAACTCACCAGCTTGGTCATCCGGCTGCTACAGAGAAGCTGAGAGCGGATTGTACAGTCTCAGTGTCAGAAGGCAGCGCTCCGTTATTCTGTCTTTCCTAGCTTGTTTATAGCTGATCGTTCAAGGTAAAATAAAAAGGGGGGAGGAATTCCAGGCAGGAGGAGGATGTACTGGGGGGAAAGAACCTCGGAAACTGGTTGGGAAGCAAGCCGAAGGCATTGTTGAGAGTGGCTGCACCCGAGGATCGGAATAGCCCTGATGACGTTGAAGGTCCATCTGGAGAGGAACCCTGCCGTGTAATGCTCAAACTGTGCAATTGTGGGGCTGGCCTTTGGGGGCTGCCCCCTGCCCCCCGGGCGGAGCGTTCCCCGTTCAGGGATCAAGCGACCCCTCTGTGTGCGTCAACCCCTCTGACTTCAGCGGGGAGGAGGTGAAAAGGGAGTGCTTGCATCTCCTGGAGAGCGAGGAGACAGAGTCTGAAGTGTTTTCAGATTTCTTTTCCCCACCTCAGAATTTGGGGGGTGGGGAAAAAAAGAAGTCAAAAGTGGCAGAGGCATACGCTGGGAAAACTGAGGAACTGGGTACCCAGCTACTGCCGTTCCTGCTTTTTGTAAACATTATAATAAGAGCCTTAGAATTGCTGAGCTAGAAGGGACCCCATGGGGTCATCCAGTCCAGCCCCTGTCCAGCAGGCCCCATTGAGGGGAATCGAACTGCCAACCTCTGGATCCGCAGACAGATAACTCAACCACCGAGCTCTCCAGCCCAGAACAATATGTACTTGATCCACTGCATTTTTTATCTCAAGCTACTCTGAACCTCTAAATTGCACCTTCTTAGGTTATATTTCCACACCTATATATCCACAGAGTGAAACGGTACCCAAGCCGGCTTGGTGGTCAGGAAAGCGTTTATTTCTCGAATGGTCGGGTGTCTTTGCCATTTGGAAAAAGATCAGGTTTTTGTCCTGTGCCTTCATCGAAAAATCCTCAGCCCTTCCCTTTTTGACTTGGACGCCTCCGACGTCAAGCCTTGCATATATTTTTTTTACGCGAGGAATCACATGTTGGAGAGCAGGAGCGAAATTTGAACATGGTCCAGATTTTATCCAGCTCATGAGTAACACAAATAACACACCATCCTGCTTTCCTGCGCAAGAGAAGACGTTCCTGGGATGCCGGAATCTGCTTTAGATTAGATTACTCTGGGTTGCTTATTTTTTTTTTTTAAATTCAGAATCCCTCCCAAATAATATTCAAGACAACTTACCGTTGGTGAAAAGGGTACATGGACATTTACCCCTAATATCTGTGTCGGAAGCCTTGATCTGCCTCTTAACGAACCATCATGGGTTATAAGAAGGCTCTCAACAGCTGGAACAGATGCTGCTACTCAAACCAACTAGAGGCAAATCTGCTTCTAGATTTCCCCCACGCCTTTCCGGGGGGGGGGGTCCTCGTCCCTTCTAGCAACAACAGCCACACAACCATGCAGAACTCTGTGGCTAGCCGTGTGCCATCTGCTAATCAAACGAGACTAGGAAGAGACAGTAGCAGTTACGTTTCAAGCTGATGTAATAAATAGTTACAGTTACTATTTATGAAACAACTAGTTCACTTTTGAAGGGTGGTTTTAAAAATTTTGGAAACGTTTTGACAGGAATTTTCCAAGTTTTATTCTATTCAGTTATTAATGCTCAGTGGTAGCAGAATTATACATCTTTCCTTTTTTCTTTTTTTGTAAATATTTTCAGTGCGCAGTATCAGAATTGGCCACTAGGGGGTTCTGGAACGTGTTTCCCTGCAGTTCTCTTTTTAAAAAGAGAAAGAGTAGGCATGTCCTTTACTTGGAGTGGATGAGGACCGAAAGCAAAAGGAAATGAATATTGCAAGGCAGTGTTGGCACATTTTAACTTTAGGGTCTTATGGCTGGTAACAGGGGCTTTGGAGACACATTTCGACATTCCGAATGGAGGAAAGCCATGTAAAGGCCTGGTAATTGCCCAGTTGGCTGTAACTAAATACTTTCTGGGGTCAATGAATATGTAACCAAGTTACATTTCAAAATGATATAATAAATAGTTACAAAATTGCTTTTTATGTAACAAGTCGAATCATAGAATAATGAAGTTGGAAGGGGCCTCTAAGGCCATCCAGTCCAACCCTCTGCTGAAGTCTCTTGAAGGTCTACAGTGTTGCAGCGCTTATCACATCTTGAAGTCATGGGGTTCTATTGTCCTACTGCTCGAACAGTTAAGAAGTTTTTCCGGATGTTCAGCCTAGATCTGGCTTCCTGTCACTTGAACCCATTGCTGCGTGTCCTGAATTCTGGGTTGATGGAGAACCGAATCTGCCCTTCCTCCTTAAGACTAACTTTAAAGTCTTGGAAGAGTGTGATTTTTCTCTCCCCTCAGTCTTCTTTTCTCAAGAGTAAAACATGCCCAGTTCTTTCTGTCTTTCCTGGATGGCCGTGCTTTGCCCATTGGTGCTCTAGACGGGCAAGGTGGGAGAGAGGAACGCTAATAAACTCATACCAGTTCGTCCAACCCTCTGCTGAAGGCAAGGATCCTGGTCAAAGCAGTTCTAGGAAAGATGGTTGTCTAAACGTCTCTCAAAGGCCTACAGTGTTGCAGCGCTTATCACATCTTGAAGTCATGGGGTTCTATTGTCCTACTGCTCGAACAGTTAAGAAGTTTTTCCGGATGTTCAGCCTAGATCTGGCTTCCTGTCCCTTGAACCCATCGCTGCGTGTCCTGAATTCTGGGTTGATGGAGAACCGAATCTGCCCTTCCTCCTTAAGACTAACTTTAAAGTCTTGGAAGAGTGTGATTTTTCTCTCCCCTCAGTCTTCTTTTCTCAAGAGTAAAACATGCCCAGTTCTTTCTGTCTTTCCTGGATGGCCGTGCTTTGCCCATTGGTGCTCTAGACGGGCAAGGTGGGAGAGAGGAACGCTAATAAACTCATACCAGTTCGGAACCGGTTGTTCACATCATATTTCCAAACTACAACTTCCAGGTAGACTTAAAAAAATTTTCCAAGTTGTGTTCTTGTCCGAGCAGCTCATCTGAATCCAAGTCAAAGCTTCAGTCTACTTTCTGTGGTGTCGCACTTGTCTTCTTTCGAGGCTGTAACGTTCTGCAAGCCATTTGAGCCTTGGAGGGGTGATCTGCTTAATGCTAATTGTGATGCATGCAATCTCTCTCTCTCTCTCTGTCTCTGCCTCTCCCCCCTTCCTTCCACAAATGAAATTATCGCCCTCACGTCATCACTCCGCTCACAGCTCCGGGACAGCAGCCACCGTTTCCTGCCCAGTTTTTCTTTGGCCACTTTTTCCTCTCCGTGGCGTCAAATCTAGAAAAACGTCCCGGGGGGGGCGTGATGGAGAGAGGAGCAGAAAATTACTTACCTGGGTCTTATCCGGATCCTGATTGGTCTGGAAGCCTGGCAGGGCAAGAGCGACACAGAGATTCCAGCGCCTTCTCTGCTTTTCTCGGCGGATGGTTTCTGCACATCTACCCAGTTGTAGTGGTGCCCAGTGTGTCCAGCGGCTCTTCTTTTGCAGGCCGTTGGGGAGCCCCCCTTATATGAACATTTTGAGCTTCCTCTTCCTCAGCCAGCCCCATGGAGAGCCTTTCTACCTCTCAAAGGGCCGGGGGGCGGCGGCTGTTTTTGCAATGGTAGGGTCCTTTGGCCTGGTACCTTGGCCTGGTACCTTGGCCTGGTAACTGGTCCCCCCCTGCACCCTCTTCCTTTCCCCCTTCACTTTGGAACCACAGATATGGTCCCAAACGGTAGTAAGCCATGGCGATCCTCTTTAGGATGAACCATGGCTATCTAGGACGGTTTGCTCATAGGGCTCTTTTGCCTCTTGGCCTTGGGTCCTCTTAAAGGAGAACAGCAGGGTATAAATATTGTAAATAAACGAATGAAACGAGCAAGGATTCGCTTTGCACGGGCAGAGACATGAGTCCGAGCATCGGCTGTCGCGCCACCCCGCACGCAACCCCAGATACCGCCCTTCCCTTCTGAGACGGTGGCGATTCGCCAACCAGACTTGCCGTCTGTTGCGTTCGCACCAGCACAAAAATTCGACAGGATTTGGGTCTTGGTTATTGAGCGGCCCAGATGTTTTGCTTAGAATGAACGGCAGGCCTTATGGCTTTGTCCCACCCACCCGTCCTTGCCCTATAAATAGGGTATTTTGCTAATCTTGGCTCAGCTCATTCAGGGGGGTCTGAAGGAGGAGGGGAACCAGCAGATCTCGTGTTATGCTTTTGTTGTTCCACAAGTGGATTAAATTTCTGCCATCAGAATGGAATCGAACAATGGAGTTTTATCAAAGGCGTTTCCTCTCATTGAGTCTATTTATAATCACACACCCCCGTTCGGCCTCGGCGATGGGTGGGCAGCTGCTCTCCAGGGTCCCATTTCCTTAATGCCTTGCAACTTATTGTTACACCGACCGTTGATTTCTCAAAAGCAAATGTCAATATCCTTTTTTCCCCTCTGTTTTTTTTTCTTTTTTTAAAAAACAACACCACAGGATTTGAATGGACAGCCCAAGGAGCCCCTGTGCCCACGGCTCTGCCTCCTCAGGAAGGGTCCCAGCGGCTATGGGTTCAACCTACACAGCGAGAAATCCAGGCCCGGACAGTTCATCCGGTCGGTCGACCCCGATTCGCCCGCGTTCAAGGCAGGGCTGCGACCACAGGATAAGCTGGTTGAGGTAAGGGGGGCACGGCGGTGGCGGTGGCAGATTCGTGGTTGACCTCACAGAGGTCACTGCCACCTGGATGCTTTTCCATAATACTTTTGCATTGGGATTAATCCCTGCTTTTTTTATGGGGTTTCCGCACAACTTGGGTAAATAGCTGCAATTCCCGGGTTCGTGACATCGTTTCCTCGGAAACCTGCTTGTGCATCATTGTGAAAGAGGAAAATGCTCCTCCAGAAGAGTTTGGATTTCCGCAATTGGTTGTGTGTGCGGATTCATTTCGCCTACGCTTAAGTTACAAAAGCCAGAATCCTGTTGGAGGAACCACACATGGCAGAGGTATTTGCGCACAGGCCTCTTCCTCATGAGTGGAGTGCCTGTCCTGCAATAGGCTGCGTGACCAATTTCGCAAACCGTTGTGCGTTGGGTTGCACAACAGACTCACTACAAAAGCACAAAATTCTGGCTGAGATTCGGGTGGGATTCCTATGGATTAAGTGTGGGTGAGAATCTAGCTTCTCTGTTTGTTGACAGAAAACATGTATGGGCAATTCGGAGGGCTCCTGTCCTTTTGGTTGAAAGCTTCCTGTCTGAAGATTGAGCCCATTTTACTTAGCACAGGGGAGTGGGGGACTTAACATTCTACAAACGACCAGTCTGGCGATTCGTGCCAGTTTGTTTATTGGCCGAACAGACACTTCCCGGCCCCGTCTCCTCCAGCGGGCACCCACTTGGAGGCATTGCTCTGGCTTCCCCTCTGGGCACCGCCTCTAAGTGGGCATCTGCTGGAGGAGGCAGGGCTAGGAAGCACCAAGCACCCGTTTGGTCACTAAATGAACCAGCACATACCGCCAAACCAGCATCAGAAAATGCAGAGGGAGGCCTCGGTAAGGTGGCCTAGAACATCAGCTGCTGTCCACCAAAATACTCATGCTTTAGAATGCTGGTCTGTTTGGCTGTCCTGTTCTTCCCTCTACCTTTGACGTGGCTCGGTGGGGTGCAGCTCAGCCTTCCCACTTCTGGATATTGTTGTTGCTCATGGTTTGCCGAAAGCGTGCGGACAGTTGAAGCTAGCTTCTGAAAGCAGGATTTTATCGCTTCCAAATTAGTCTGGTGGTGGGGCTTGGACGAACAGAGGGCGGGAATCTCCCAGCACCACGGTGGAGGAGAGAGAAACAGCAGAACAGCTGCTAAACCATGGAGGTGCTGCCATTACCTCTAGCTGCCCTCCCCGCCGTGACACCTGCTGTGCGGTGACACCATCCCAGAAGTTGTTTCTGCCCGCTCGCTTTCTCTGGGCACCTGAATCTTTAATGCCTGCAGTGCAGCCGTGGCTGTGTGTGAGGGTCTCTCTCTCTCTCTCTCTGTGTGTGTGTGTGTGTGAGAGAGAGAGATGGGCCTATAGGAGTTGGGGATGGGCAGCGGTTGAAGAACAATTTCTCCTTCACCTCTTAATATGTCACCGATAGGCCTTTCATTATTAATTGAGCACCCCCAGGGCACATTTCCCGACACACACAAAGATAGGAAGGAGGTGGCTGGTGGAACTGAGAAACTTGATCCAGGATCCTGGCTCTTTGGGGCAGATATAAATGTTTGATAGCATTCCGTGGCTCTCCTCCGTTCAGAGGAGCTCGGCCAGGACAGGTTGCAGAAAAAGCAACCGTTTGGTTCCGTGTTTTCCCTGCCTCGGCTTCCTCTTTTCTGGCCTTCGGGGCCGTGGCCTTCAGCCTTCTTGCCTCAGGAGGGAAGGAGCCAGGCCTGGGAGCATCTTCAGAGCAGCAGAAGGACCCAGAAGGTCTGGCTTTGCTCCAGTGCTCCTTCCCTTCTCTCTGACTGCTCTGGGTTTTCCGTTGCATTTGAATCAAGAAAGTGCAGGGGCCAAATTCAGAACAAGCCAAGATCTGAAACTGTGATCCGATGTTGGTTTACAATCCTGGCTTGTTTGCAGTCTAGCTCATGAGGCCTGTTCTTCACTAGGCTGGGATCTGTGGTCACTTTTTTCTCCCAAATAAATCTGCTCAGGTTAAACCTGCTTGTTTAAAGACAGAACTGATTTAATGTGTAGCTTGACCCCTTAAGGGCTCCTATTTTTCCTCCCAGACCAACAATTTGGAGTGTGAGGAAGGGAGGGAGAGAGAGAGAGATGGACAGACAGACAGACAGACAGTGGGCAACACACTGGACAGATTATTTGCTTTCTATTGTCAGGTGAGAATCAGCGCCTGAACACAAAGGACAGGCTCGCTTTCTCTTCATTCTTCCCTCCAAGAAAAGGCCACGGATTGTTTCCCAAAGTGTTCAGTTTCGTCCAGTAAATTCTCCCTTTGTCTTCATTTAAAAGAGCCTGGCCACCAGCCTGGCAGCGCCGTTCCCTGGCGTCTGTTGGCGCCTTTGTTCGGAGAGAAGGCACGTTTTAGCTCTCGCTAGATCTCTCTCTCTCTAAATATGTGTCCGTGTAAGGTCTGTTTCTTCACACGCTGGCTATTCGGAGTTGTGGGTTTTCGGATACAAAAGCTGGCGCTTGGGGTGAGCCCTGTTCCTGCTCCTGAGGTTGTAAACTCTTTCCAGCGGGGAGGGAATCTCAGCCACGTCCACGGTGGCCACGCATGGTATGAGGACCGGCCTGTTAAGGTTTTATCTCCCTTTTCCGAGGCCCTATGCATGCTACGAACCCACCTTTTTCATGCCTGTTTCACGGACATGACTCCCCACCTCAAGAATTCTGGGCAATATAGTTTGAGAGCTTTTCTTCTACAAGTAACCGTTAGGTGGAAGAATCCTGGGAGTTGTAGTTCAATGGAGCACCTCCCCTAAAAACTACACTTCCCTTGGGGGGGGAAATGTCAAACTAGTTTAAGTGGGATATTGTGAAGGCTTCCAGCTATGTATTTTAGGAATGAGCAAATTGGGACTTCTGCACCCCATGTGTCCCCCCCAGGGGCATTTGGGGGGGGCTTCCTGAGCACCAGGGTTTACTTATTTTCACACAGCCTGTGGTTGTCTTTCCCGCAGGTCAATGGGATCAACGTGGAAGGCATGAAGCATGCTGAGGTGGTGTCGCACATCAAGTCCAAGGAGAATGAAGCCAAGCTGCTGGTCGTTGACCCCGAAACAGAGGAACACTTCAAGAAACTTGGCATAACTCCTACGGAGGAGCATGTCAGAGGTAAGGCTTTCTCCACAGAGCAAGCTTTGGGGTACGAAAGGATCCATGTGGATTCCTCTGTACGTACTTGGGAACTGTGCAGTGGTCTCCTCCATCTTGACCCTCCCCAGATATGTTGGGATTATATCCCATCAACCATGCATATAAAGACTTATACCTTTTCCCCCCCATTTTAAGTAGCTTGGTGTCCTATTCAGAGGAACAAAGGTTATGCAACCAGATATGTTGGGATTATATCCCATCTACCATGCATATAAAGACTTAAACCTTTCTCCCCCTCCATTTTAAGTAGCTTGATGTCCTATTCAGAGGAACAAAGGTTATGCACCCGGAAGATGTAGATGGCTTCGTTTTTATTTTCGCAGCTAGAAGAAAAAGGAATTGGACTTACCTGCTGTCTAGTTTGTTTATTTAGTACATTTCTGCCACACCTTGCTGCTTAAGACACTCAAGGAGGAATGTGCTGGCCCCGATCCAACGGCTAGTCCCTGCCAGAGAAGAACCATGCAATCAATCACGAGATGATAAGTCAACACTTAATATAAAATCTCATAGATTCATCCAGTCTATTCCAGCTGGCTGTAGCTGTGGGGCAGAAACCGCAATTTTGATACCGCAACCATTTGGATTTAGGGCTGGGGGATAGGGAGCAGTCCAGGGTCACGCAGTGATTTTGAAATTGGAGTGAAGGTTTAAATTTGAAGTGCCTTCTGTTCTCACCCAATTGAGATGGTTCTGTATTCTTTTGTCATATTCGGGAAGCTTGTGTTTAGAACTCGGGTTTGGAGGCGATAGCCTGTTGTGGGTTCCAATGGCAAGAGACCTTTGGAATACCCATCAAGGGAACACAAGATGATGTGAGAAACACCCAGGTTGCTGCTGAAGCTTTTGTGCAGTGACTCCTCACCCTTTCTAACATGTAGTTTGCACATTATGCTCTTTGTCCTGCGGCCATCCTCATTCATGTTTATTCCTCTTAGCCTTCCTGTCGCCAACCCCCTTTTGCCAGGCAAACTGTGTTTACTTTCCCACAACCAATCACGAAGCAGGCACACTAAACGTAAGATACGGAGGTGAGGAAAATCACATGGTTTCGCTATTTGCATGACCACCCCTTCCAAAACGACACGCTAAGCTTGTTGTTTCGTTTGACTCTGAGAAACACGTCCCTGCCTTGCTTCTCTTTCCCTTGCCCTGCCAGACAGGAATGTTATCCTGAGCATGGACAGAGTGTATTTCCTTCCTGCTGGGAAACAGTAGCTGGCTTTGATGCAGTTAAAGATTAGGAAGGGTTCTGGCAAATTTGGGTCCCTGGGGTTTGGTAGTCACACTGGTTTCAGACCCGAGTGTAGGCTTATAATTTATAAAACAGTAACAACTAGCTGATTTGATGAAGCCTAAGACCCCCGATCCTCGACAGTATAAACTGGCAGGGGGTTATTCTCTGCGCTCCCACCTGGCTGCTGGCAATGCAGCTTTGCAGCGGTACTGCTGGCGAGCCAAGGAGAGGGGGCTGCATGTATGGAGGGCCTCCTTCCTCGGTTGCCTTGAATGGGGAGCTCTGTGTTTTTAAAACACAGCTGTTTCTTATCTCAGCTGCCTTGTGTTCAGCCTCCAAGCGCTGGCTGGCTTGTCTCTCGCTGGCCTTCGGCAAAGGGAAGGAATCCAGAAGCAGGACTTGGAACGGGTTTTACGGATCTTGGGGGTAGGAGCCCGCCTATCGGATGCTGAGTGCAGGAACCTGACACGGCCCAGATACTTTGGGATTTTGGCATGGCAGATAATAACCTCCCCTGTTCTCCTCTTGAGGAGGAGCCAGCTGGCCCAATGCAAGCACTGACTGCTTTCGAAATGCACTGCAGCGTTGAAGTGCGCTTCCTTGTGTCGCCTTTTGTGGATTCGTTTGGCGGCAGAAGAACCAGCCGGAGCATCTGCTGAGCGGCTGGCAAAACGGGGGTTTGGCGACAGGAAGGCGAAGAGGAATCAACATGAGCAGCGTGCGCATCCGCATGATCTCAGTAGGGTGGCTTCTGGCTGAGGCAGCACGGCGTGTTGATGATTATTCGTGACCTGGTTCCAGCACTTGTTATTTGAACAGGATTACGAAATAAGGAGCTTTAGGGCTAGGAGAGCCACCATGTTGTGGTAGAAAGGCTGTTGAGTTTACAGCCAGGAGACACGGGTTCAAGTCTCTGCCTGCCTACAAAGCACAAAGGGGGACCCTGCCCGGTTTGCTATCACACCTTCTTGTGCTCGCTGTTCCTTTGTTTAGTGTGGGTGTGTTTGTGTTTTAGCTTTTTCGTGGGTGTGGAGAGGAAAGCAGCGAGGTGTTGGTCCATCTTGAGTCCCTTAAAAACAAAGGTGTGCAATCCGTGGCCTTTCCAGATGATGTGTGTGTGTGGGGGGGAGCACAGCTCCAATCCTCTCTGGCCATTTCGGCTGGGGCTGATGGAACCTGAGCCCCACACCTTCTGGAGGGTCACCAGCCGCTCACTCCTACTCTTGGCCCAGCACAAAGTTGGAAACAAAGAACTTCTGCTCTCCTGGCTTAAAAGGAAGGAGTACGTTGAACGTCGGCGGACATCCAGAGTTGAATGGCTTTCTGTCTGGGCCGATCGATGGACGGATGGATTGCAGGCTGCCTTTCCCACCTAAAGTCAGTGCAAGCACAACACTCAAGCGACGGCCAAAATCTTGTTGCGTCGTCGTGCCAATGGAAAGACAGCGGCATAACTTGCAGTGGCGTTTGCCTCTAATTAATGAGTCCCCACTTAGATTCCTGGTGTGCAATGAGGAGTCCCAGCGGAGATTCATTCACAAGTGGCAATTTGCCACAATGAGTTATGCCATCGCCTTTTTGATGGCATCACTACGCAGCAGGGTTTTGGCTAATATAATACACCTGCAGACCTACCAGTGAAGCCGGTGTTTATCTCCTCGGGACTAATCAGAAAAAGAAACAGAATGGATGTTTCGTATTATGCCTCTCCACCCATAAACAGCTGTAAAACCCAAGATGAGTAACATTAGATGAGTAACATTTTCTGGGTATTATCGGTTGTTTCTGTCAAACCTTACCTTACCCCACAGGTGTTCTCTCTCTGCTTTGCCTGCAGGTGGAGTTCCCCAGCCCATGACCAATGGGTCAGCCCAAACGCAGGTAAGTGACAGAGGAGTCCCCATCCCCTTCTCTAAAGGGATAGCAGAGGTTTGTACTCAAACTTCACTTTGAGGCGAGTCTTTAAGGCAGTGGGGTGCCCCACTTTGGGCCCTCACAGGTTCTTGGACTGCCTTCACCCTTGACTGCGCTGGCCAGGATTTCTGGGAGTTGTAGTCCAAGAACCTCAGTGTGTGTGTGTGTGTGCAAGATTAGGAACCGCTGCTTTAAGACATCACAGTTCAGAATAATTGTGTGTGTGTGTGTGCAAGATTAGGAGCCACTGCTTTAAGACATCACAGTTCAGAATAATCAAGGGGATTCCTGATATCTGGAGATCTGGCTTCATCCATCTCTCTCTCTCTCTCTCTCTGTTTCTTTGTGTGTGTGTGTGTGACTTTATCAAGAAACAGCAGCCCGTCACTTTTAGGTCTATCTTTGCCGGCTTGAGGGCTCCAAAATGAAATGATTGGCCCATCGATCCAGGTCAGAGAGCAAAGAGTGATAAGGATGGTGAAAAAAATGGGTCCAATGATTTGGGCTTTCTTAAATGAATTAAAGGCTCTTCTCTTTTGGCTCCCATCCTCTTCTCTCTTGAGCCGGTGTGGGAATGAGTGTCTTTCGGCTGGCAAGGGGGGAAGAGGGGAAGGGAAGGGGGCCTGTTCCATGTTCGTCCTCTCTCTGGCCAGGGTGATCTCCCCCTTCCAGTCTTTTCTCAGGCACCACTGCTAGGTTCGCCCTCCCGCCCGCCTGCCCCTCGGATGCTGCTCTCCAGAGACCCCCCCACCTGTTGTTTCCCTTGCCCCTCCTGGCCACCCTGAGCCCCCACCCCGGATAATCAACATGTCCCCTGTTTCCATCCCTCACAGCTGAATGGAGGATCCCTGTCTTCATCCCACAGCGATTGCCAAAGTTCCGAGAGAGAGTCAGAGGTAAAATTAAAAAATAAAATAAAATCTAAAACACTGTTTTTAATTGCACTGTCAGAAAGACCATTGTGGCTGCATATCTGCAGACACACCAACTCTCCTCTTTTTCTCCTTGTCCTCCTCCTTCCAAGTTTTGGCTCATCTCCCTCCCTTCTCGGTGTTTCCAAAACCTTATCCCCCTCTTTGTTCTTTTTTACTTCTTCTCTTACCAGCCTGGTTTTACCTGCTGTCCTTCTAGACTGGAGCACTCTGCCCATGTTTGCTTCCCATCCTTCCATCTCTCTCCTCCTAGGTAAAACCTGGAGGTATTTCTTTCTGTGGTTTAGCGCTGCCTAGATGTTTACCTTCAGCACTGCTTTCCTAAGCTGCTAGTCCCTTGTGTGTAAGGTTTCCCGAAATCTACCCCTTTCTGTTTCCCCTTCCCTGTTCTTCTCCTCTTTCGAGCACGCTCTGCTGCATCTTTCCATGCTGTCTTTTGTGCTCTACCTGTGGTGCAGCCCCCCTTCCTTTCTTGGTTCCTGCAAAGTGTGAAACATCCACCTTGTTCCCATCCATAGGTGGCTGGAGTCAAGCGTTCTTTCTGCATTTAAACATCTAGAATCCTTTCAGAGGAAACAGGCTATAGACCAAGACTGCCATGCAAAGCTGCCGTATTTCCCCCCAGCAGAAATGCAGGCAAATAACCAGGACACCCCCTTCGAAAGTCCTGCAATTAAAAGAAGAATCAATTGCATTCTGATGCGAAGGGAAAGACTTAGATGGTGTGCCACTTATTATATCCTCCTCCAGATTTTCCTCGAAGGGGTTTAAAAACATGCAGGCTCACAAAGAAATCAGGTCTGGATTCCCAAAGACTGGTTCACGCTTTAGCAAAAATGGTTTGCCAGACGGTGCATTCTTTCCACACTGGGGTGGGAGGGAGAAGTGGGAGAGAATTGCTTTGCAGGTTTTATTTCCATTTTGCTGGCAGCTGTGGGTAGCCCGTTTTATTGCAAGCAGAGGTTGGCTTCTGCCGGTGGTCTGCCTTCCTTTTCTAGGCCAGTCCTCAACCTTGCTAGAAGGTTGCGCAAGGTTTTAAGGGGAGAAGGATCTTCTGAGGGTCACGGGACCCAAACCATTCTGGGTCCACAGCTTTTTGGTGCCAGGTCCTGTTCTTCGAGAACTTCTCCTCCAAGTTCCTCCATGTTGCTTCTCAGGTTGGCAGCCGGAAGGCCAGATTTGGCCCCAAGGCTGCCCGGTGCTGACACGGGTCACAGAACTGGAACGGCTCAGCCTTGTAGAGCAGGAACATCTCTGCATCAGGTCCCAGAAGTTTGTTGGGCTTAGGAAACAAAATTATTTTTGGAAGACAATATCTACATGTGTTGGACTTGCCAAAGGCTGTTGGCTTTATTTGGCCTTTTCCTTTGTGCATACGGCTTGGTTCACTTACGCAGGTGGTTTGTGTCCCACGTTCGCATCCTGCTGGCCCTTTGTTCTCCATATACCTCTTTCCAGAAGGCCTCTCAGGGCTGTGTTCTTTGCATTTGGAAGCCCTGAGCCCTTCTTTTAGCGGACGGCAATGGGTGTAGAAGCCACATGGGGTGTCAGGAGCCCCTTGGAACCGAGAGCTTCCCCTGGGTCTGCAACGTCTGGGGGATACGTCCCTCCCACAACCAGCCTTCTCCATCAGCTGCTCCTGAAAAGTATCTGAAAAGTTTGTAATTAAGTGCGTTAAGCCACCCTGATGTTCTATGAGAAACACTAGCCTACCTGGAGGTCAAAAGCTGGCTTAAACTGAACCCCATCCCTGATCCACCAAGCATAGCATCCCCCAGCTTGGCTTCCTTTCGCTCTCTGGCCCCTTGGCTGAATCAGGGCCTTTCCTGGTTTTGCTAAAAGCGCGAGGTGCTGGAAACAAACCTCAGCTCCCTCTGGACCAGAGAGATCCTGGTGGTAGAAGGTGGCCTTCCAGATGACTTTGTTTTTTAGAGGGTGTGTGTGTGTTTCCAGATCAGAGGGCTCGTCCCATTTCAGCCAAGGAAGACAAAGCCTACATGTCACAATCCCACCCTTTGGGGGGGGGGCTCTTTTAGCTGTCTTGAGAGCCATGCTACTGGATCTCACTGGTTTTCTTCCTTGGTTTAATGAATAAGGGTGGAGGCCTCTTGACCCGTCCAGAAAGGTCAAATTCAGCCTTTGTGTGTATTTAGAGAAGGTTCTCATGATGCATGAACAAACCGGCAGGTCCTGTCCTTTATCCCCAGCGTAGACGCTCCTTGTACGTTGAAGTTTTGCTTGCTGAAAGAACCACAAGACATCCTTGATTTGAAGTCAAGTCGTCTACTTTGCGGTTGGTCTGAAGACGTTCGGAAGGGCAGGACTCCCTTGTTACTTTCCCTCAAAGAATAGAGGCTGTGCTTTGCCTGTGGAGGAAACAAAACCTGCAGGGAACAGCCTGTATCCCAAGAGGAGTGGGTTAGCTCTTTTTCAGCAACCCGCTCTCCAGCCTTATTCACAGGTGTCCGTAAAGCCTTTGTCCCGCTTCCCGAACCTGCAGGGCGAGTCTGGAAACAGGCGATAGCGGAATGAATGGAAACCGCCGTGCGTACGTCAGCCAGGACGGGCTCAGTTTGCTCTGCCTAATTCTTGCGTTCCTCCCTTGCTCTTAGGTGAGAGAGCCCCCCAAAAAGGACCCCTTTGAAGAAAGCGGCTTAAACTTGAGCCCGACCGCAGCAGAAGCCAAAGAGAAAGTGCGGGCCAAGAGGGTGAACAAAAGGGCCCCCCAGATGGACTGGAACAAGAAACGGGAGATTTTCAGCAACTTCTGAGCTGCCACCCCCTCCATCGCGCTCTTCGTGCCCAGCTGTTCCTGCGAGAGAAGACATTTGCTGTGTACATGAATCATGCCCCCCGCTTCTCGGTGGGCGCTGCTCCAAGACGCGCCACGCTCGGCTGTGTTTCCACCCATAGGTTTGCGTTGCTTCGTCACAAGGCAGGTTTGTCAAGCGATCCCAAAGAGAGAGAGAGAGAGAAAGGCTGAATTTGCAGGGCCCAGGGAGCAGGGCCGCTGAAGTCCCCAGCAGGAAAAGCGAGAGAATGACCTGCATTTGCATTTACTTCTGGGTCACTTAACATGCAATATTTAGAATATATTATTTATAGCACCATTTTTATATAATTGTTGGTGTTTCTTCGCCTCTCCTTTTTTTTTCCTCTCTCTTTCTGGCATTTTAAGTATTTCCGTGTTGCTCACAGAGCGCATTTCCTTTCTACTTCACTGGATATGCTATGGTTTATACCACTACGGGCTACAGTGTTAACCTCCTTGTAAAATGTGCTGGCTGTCCGTTCCATTGATTCCTAGGTTTTCTCTGTGGTTTAAAATTTGGAATTAATTTCCTTTTTTTTTAAAAAAAAGAGAGGAAAAAGTGATATCATCTGTTTGGAGTTAGCGCTTGAGACACCCTCCTGTTCAGCTGAGTGGACGAGAAGTTCTTTTCTTTGGAAAATTCTTGTTTCCATGTTGCGTCCCTTGCCAAGTCTCCTCCGCCCCTAAAGAAAAATTTGGCTTGCTGAAACTTAGCTCTTAGCTTAAAAAAAAAGGTTGCAAAAAAATCCTGCAACGAGGGGGGCGGGTGGGAGGCTGCAGAAGTGCGACACTCTTGTCAGCGGTCTGGAGATGGGAGGAAGGGAGGGGCCTTCGCTGGATCTTGACATTTCTGAGGAAATAATTCTGGCTGCAACAGGAAACTGGAAATGTGTTTTACTGAGGCTCCGAAGAAGCAAGGGGGGGGAGATTTTATCCCTGGGGCGAAAGCAGTCCTAGGAAGGGTTCGTGCTGGCAGACCGAGGGAGATCTTTTTCTGCGCAAGCAGAAAACAAGAATGTTTTGCAAAAATAGAGAGAAGAAGCTGCACTCCAGTTCTGAGTGAATGTGTATCATCTCAAATAGTGTTGCTGTTTCTTTTTTTTTTTAATTGATGTTTATTGAGCACTCCTGCCCTGTTTCCCCCCTCCCACACACACACACACCATAAGTTTGCTTTCCACCAGCGCTTTTACGGTGCTAATCTTTTGCCGTCATCTATGTAACTAACCCATGTTCCTTCAGCTAGCAGATTGGCGTGTAGATTTTGTGCTCCACGTCAAGCAAGGAAATCTGTGCATGGTAGCCTTTATGGGTCAGGCAATCTCCAGGCAAGAGACCCACACCGGCCTGTTTCTTAAAGCCAGAGTCAATGCTCTCATTTTATCCAGGCCATGAGAAGTCTAGCTTAACATGTCCTCATTCTTTTTTGGGGAGGAGCTAAGGGATAAAAGGCATTTGTTGGTCTCCATGAAGATTTGGCGTGTTGGTCCGGTCCTATCCGTGCTGGGCCTGCAACATTTTCCCCATGGAAGCTGGCGACTGTGGTTTCACCAGGGTGGTGGTGGCGGCTGCGGGTGGCTGGGGGAAGGCTGAACCCGCTCAGGGTTTAGTCTGAAGTTTGCAAGCTCCGACCCAGAGGATCAGCCCCTCTTCCCGACTTCAGCACCTTGGAGAGCTCCCAGAAAGCTCAGAGGTAGACCTGCCTTGGATTGACTCCCCACACCTCTCCCGGGTTCAAGCCTCGAGGGAGAAAGGCTTGGGTTTAGAAAGGTAAAAGAAGTCTAAGGAGGAAAGCATCTTAAGGGGGTAAATCTGGTTACCTGTAATGGCACAGGAGAGTGTATGAGTGGCATTTAGGGAACGATGGTGGCGCTGCGGGCTAAACTGCAGAAGCCTGTGCTGCAGGGTCAGAAGACCAAGCAGTCGTAAGATCGAATCCACGCGATGGAGTGAGCGCCCGTCGCTTATCCCAGCTCCCGCCAACCTAGCGGTTCAAAAGCATGCAAATGCAAGTAGATAAATAGGGACCACCTCGGTGGGAAGGTAACAGCGTTCTGTGTCTAAGTCGCACTGGCCATGTGACCACGGAAGATTGTCTTCGGACAAAAATGCTGGCTCTATGGCTTGGAAATGGGGATGAGCACCGCCCCCTAGAGTCGAACACGACTGGACAAAAAATGTCAAGGGGAACCTTTACCTTTGCCTGCCCCGTTAGGAAGGGACCGGGCACCCCGTACGTGGGATTTTTCCTTGTGTTGATTCATGGGAGGGAGTGTTGTATTTGTATTTCCTGCTGCTGGCATCTAAAAACTGGCCAGGGAAAAGCACAGCAAAGCTGGGTTTCTGTTCTCTTTGTAGGGCATGCAGGCCAAAATGTAAATGGATAAAGAACAGGGTGGAAGGAATGCAAAACCTTTTTGAAAAATCTCTGGGGGAACTTTGCTTGTGTAAGTGGGGCCTAACCCCACAGGCTGCTCTCTACGGAGATGAGATTCATGCTCAAAACTACCACAGCAGTATCTTTGAACTTGTCATCAATGGTTTAGACCTGTGGGCTGGAAAGGCGGGGAATCACAATTTACCATCAAATATCCATTCTGGTGACAGTTTGTCGGTATTGGCGGTCACACTGGCCATGTCTGGACAACAGCCCCCAGGTTTTCAAGTGTGAAGAAAGCACACGTTGTTTGGCAGACGATTCGGGTGCTTGGCAAATAGCTCTGCAAGCGAATTTTCTTTTTAAAAAAAGTTGTAACACTCCCTTCCACTCCAAAAAAGGATGTCTTTAAAAGTGTGTTTCATAAGATGCAACTCCACACCCCGTAAAAACAACAGCAGATTATGTCAACCAAGATTTGACCCCCTCTCGGCGGAGGCCCCCCACATACAATGTATGTATCAGTATTTAAAGAGAAGAGAAAGCTTTGTTTTCCTGCACTGCTACACGATGGAACAATTGCTCTTTCATCCCAATAGACTCTGGGGCTTTGTGTATATTTTGTAAATGACGGATCTGGAACAAGGTGCCTTAGATTTATTCGCTTCTGCTTTGGGGAAGATGACCGTGATGTTGTGAAACAAGTCGGGCGATGGTACCATTCTGTGCAGGCCGCTCCTTTTCCGAGGAAGATCTAATTTATTTGACAGCGCCCCAAAAAAGGTTTGGAAGAAAGGGGGGGAGGAGAGGATTCGGGCACAAGGCTGCCTGCCTTGTGTGTCTAGCCTAGGGTTAAGAAATGCATCAAAATTCTGGAGGGGAATTATTCAAGTGGGATTCTAGGTATTAGTGGAGAATTCATAGTATCCAGATGAAATAATAAAGCAGAGATAAAGCTTGGAAATCATTCCTCAAAAAGTTAATGGGTTACCCTAACTCATTGGCTTTTCAGAGCGCTGAATTTAAAATTTGTGATTGTAATGGTTAAGTTGCAAAAACGAGAGAGCCATTTTAATTTTCCTTGTTCTGTCAGTGCCTGGCTGTGATTTCGAGCCATTCTGGGCGACATTTAGAAGTCCCCTCCGGCATGGGTCTTTGCTCATTGCCCTGAACCTCTATGAGAATCAGGCCTTTACTGCAACAACCCAAGTTATCATGAAATCAGGCAACAGCATTTAAAAGGCAAATATGTTTAAGTTTCAGAATCAGGAAAGGAGTGTCATTCCCGCCCCCTTCATTTTTGCAAAAAACCACAAAACCATATACCTGTGGGCCCCGATCCAGCCGGCAAAGGTGCTCAGCAAGCCCAAATTCCAAATAGCAGGTTGGGGAACTCCACGTTGGTAAGGGTGGTGGGGGAAAGATGCTTTTAAGAAGGGCTGCCTAAGCATCATGGCTTCAGATATATGCCGGGCTCCTGTCTAAATCTCTTTTGTTGGGCCAGAAAAAACAACTGATTCTAGGAGGCCAGGAATGTCGGTGGAAGGAAATGTGGTTTGGAAAGAACACTTTGCCAGTGTGTTGTTTTTTCTTTTTCTTTTTTAAACTTTCCTTTAGAAAGGTATTTTATTTGGTGAGGTTGGCCATCTCCGAAGACCAGGGTTCTACTGTTTGGGATGCTGGCGTCTGTTCCAGCTTTGCATGCCAGATAGTTGGTACTGTATGTTGTTGTTTTTTAATTTAGAGCGTCTTCCCCAACAGAACTGCTTTGTTGCTCGGTGCTCAGGGGGCCTGTGTATCAAAAACAGGGTTTTAAAAAAATGTATTGGTCCCCATGGAAAGCATGGCTGTAAATCTCCCGTTACACGTAAGGTTGATGACCCGTACAAAAATGATGCTCTGCTTTCTCCAGAAACATTTCTGAAGTCAGGATGGCCAAACCAGGTAAGGGATGAGATGAAACTGCGAGTTCCTGGCTAATAATAATTGTGGAAAGCTCTTACGCGAACATGTCGTGGCAAAAATCGGATGCCCCCTGCTCTCCTCCTAAGGTTACCTCTGTTTCTCCCGTGGACGGACACCGGGCGGTTTAAAAGCACACCGGGCTCTCTTTTATTCCTCTGACATGCTGTCAGCTCTGCACTTACTCAGTTTATGCACATTTTAGCAATCCAATAGAATGCTATAAGAGATGTTAATTGCATTGTGTAAAAAAAAAGGTGTATACTAAAATGTCAATAATAAAACTGGTTTCCCATGTACAGAGTGCCTGGTCATGTTGATGTCTCATTTAATTGCATCTGTTTTTATTCCATTAAGAATTTGTAAACCAGCTCGAGCATTATTATTTTAGTGGAAGAGTTGGGTAGAAATGTAGTAAGTGATCAATAATAGCACGGCAAGGTAGCTCCACATTTCGAACACCACAGAATCCTAGACTAATGGTGCCGGAAGGGGCGTCTAAAGCCATCAAGTCCTGCTCAAGGCAGGAATCCAAATCAAGGCAGATCTGACAGACGGTGGTCCAGTTTTTTCTTGAAGGCCTCCAACGCTGGAGCCCTCACCACCTCCCAAGGTTATTGTTTCTGCTGCCATACAGCTCTAAAAGTCAGGAAGTTTTTCCAGATACTCATCCTTATATGCTGCTTGGATCCCATGTCTAAAAGCCAGGTCCCTTCCTCTATAACCTCTTGACATGGAACCTTTCCCTCAACCCCCTCGGATCAAGCAACCCTTGAACAATCAGGACTGACCAAAAGTAATTCATTTGGTTTAAGCTGCTTAGGGCTGTAATGGGTCTCGGGATTCTGTGGGACGGAACTAGGGCAGTTTTGAAGCGGCACCCCACCGCTAGCAGTGCGCAGCCTAGAGAGAGTCTGTGCTTTTCGTTTGCCGAAAATTCCCATTCGCATCGCTTGAGGCAGAAAGCTTAACTGCAGGGAAGAGAGAAAGGTGAAAACCTCTTGCTTTGCAGTTTTGGAGTCTTAGTTGCATGGAGATGCTCCAAAGGACAGAGAAACAGCATTTTCCCCAACCCCAATTTTAAGGCTACATGGGTGCCGTGCCCTTTCTGGATAAATGTCTACAGCCCCTTTTGCAGATTTGCAGCCCCCCTCCCATCCCATGAAAGCGAATGAAGCTATGCACCGGGGATAAAATGATGGCCCCTGGACAAAAAACCTTGTGATCAAGTTAGAAGCATACAGACATGTGTTTTCGGACTGCCGCGCCTGCAGGCGGAATGATCCTTTCTTGTGAAATTCTAGGAACTGAAGTCCAAAAAAGCCCCTCCTCTCCCCACCTCTGAATAAAAACTACAGCAATTGAAGGGACTAGAAAAGATCATTATCTGGAGGCAAAAACGTTGAACTGTCCCACTTTGGGCACATCCGGAGAAGGCAGGATTGTCTGGAAAATACAATAATGGAAGGTGAAAGGCAGGAGGGAAAGAGGAAGGCCCAATACAAGATGGACTGATTCCTAAAGGAAGCCACAGGCTTGGGTTTGCAAGAGCTGAGCGGGGAGTTGAGGATAGGAGATTTTGGAGACGGCTCATTCCTGGGGTCACCATAGCTGGAGGCAACTTGACAACGCATTAACAAGAACAGTAGTTTATTATAGGGGGGAAAAAGTGCAGGATTACATAGGCGGCTTCTACTGCCCATATGTGGTGAACCGTGCCTAGCGTTAAGGCTCACACTCATACGACAAAAACATTTTATTCAAAACCCTTGCAATCAATCTGTTTCCCTGATTCTCCTGGCTCTTTAGCAACATTCGGAAAGAGAGCAGGACAAAACCATCCCCTTCGGCCTTTTTTTTTCTTTTTCAAACTCCGTTCTCCCTTTTCTTACCTCTCTGCTTCTTGGCCAGACCAGGACTGAATGACATCATAGAGCAGAGGCGGATAATGGTTTCTGCCTGGGAACAAGCTCATTAGCATTTAAATTGGGGATTTCAGGAGGGCAGGCAGCCTGAGAAGAATGCACAGGCCCTTCCTTGGGGAGGGTGGAAGTCTGCGGGGAAGACATTCCTGCCCAAACAATAACATCACGCAGGGCTGGCTCCGAGAAACAACCTTTTGCCCTTTTGGGGAAAAAAGGAGCCAGAAATCTCACCGCTTGCCAAACTTCACAAATCCTGATCGAAATGAGTAAGGTTTATTACCAAGGTTTCAAGCAGCAGCCAAAAAATGTCCCAGGCTAGAATTCAGCTGAATAGACTTAAACCTCTGTAGGTCCGTGTTCATCCTTAAACCTTCAGTTGCCAGATGATAAACAGATCGAAAAAATATATTCCTCAAAGTCACTGTGTCCAAAAGAAAACAGCACCCAAACCAAGATCTCCCTCCTGGCTTTCCCGCACGAAGGTGAGTCTGGCGAACCTCTATGTGCCCACCTGAGAAGGCTAGATTTCTACCTTTCTACCGGCACCGTGTATTCAAATATGCCTATTATTTTGTTTATGACACAGCCGCTTACGTGGAGTCTGAGAAGGCGGCCACGCCAGAAACATTTCCATGTTCCCCCTTCTGGCGCATGCGGGCGCTCTGAATCTCTTCCACCCAGGAACGGTGCGTCGCTGTAGCGCGACTGCATTGCGGAGTCAAAATCCCAGTGGCTGAAGCGATTGTGCCAAAGATGACGACAGGGCCGTTAGAGCCTCCTCAGCCTGGCCGTGAGCTCCCGGATCTTCCCGGGAATCTCGTTCCCCCAGGGCAGCAGAAAACTAGGAAGGGCAGCTCATTCTCCCGAGCGCCGGGGCTGCAGTGGGGCCTCAGCGCTTCCGGGAAGCTGGGCAGATGCTGTGGTTCAAGCACGCCGCGCAGCGTGGGTTTACCGGCAAACAGATCTGCTGGCCAAATCCAACCAGCAGCCAGTTGATCTCGCTCCAGAGATCCCTGTAAAGTTGAATAAAAGGGGTGAGTGGGGGGTGAGGGGAGAAAGATCTATTTGCACACCAACTGATTTCATGAAGCTAAGTAAAGGGAGACTTCCTTAGATGGATCCTAATAGATCTATCTTCAGTAGATCTGCCACCAGTGGCATGTACTGGAGCCGGGCTCTGAAGGCAGCAGAAGTCCACCCACCCACCTCTCAAACCCCCTGGTCCCCTCTGAGCTTAGCTGTGACCTTCCCAGCACCTAAGAGAGGAATGGATTCTCCCGAAAGCAGGATATTCTTGCAAGTAAGCAAAGTAGGTGGAAGGCGATTTGGGCCATCAGGAGCCATCATCCTGACAAAAGACCTGCTCCTCATTTCTTGTCATGGCCTGCTCCAGCGGCCTGCACATTGGGAGAAGGTTGCAATGAGCTGCTGCATTTCCATGGGTCAGCAAAGGGACTGAGAATCCTGCCAGGGCGCCCTCCAGGGCACTTTTCTGAACAACAGTAAGAAAACGTTCAGGATCTCCACCAACTATCCCGGCTCCCGGGACCTTGCAGGACAGGAAGGGCGGCCTCTCACAACTGGAGCACAACAGGGAGACTCTATAGAGGTCAGGAGCTCTCCAGCCCAATGAAAGGAACATGACGTTGGAGAGGAAAGAAGGGAGAGGGTGGGCAACCCGGCGGAAAGGCTCAGGATCCACTCCAACCGGCTCACCTCGGGAGCCACTCCTCCAGAGCCCTCCGAGTCTCCTCGGGATGCGCCGTCTCCTTCTCGGTCCATCTCAGGCGGTTGCAGATCCGATGCACGTGCGTGTCGACCCCTACAGGAGGGATGGTTAGAATCAGGAAGAGCCGAGCTGCTGTCATTGAGGACTAGAAGCTTGCCCTGCTCCTGGCGGGGACCCCAGGGTCCTTCGCCTCTACCCTACGCCCGGAGTACTTTTGCTGATTCCCAGCTGAGGCGCTCTGCCATCACCTGCTCTCCTCCCTCTATCGCTCTCCCCACACCGTCTGAAGCATGGCATGGGGCTGTGCAGGCAAGCAGGAGGGGAACATGAGGGGTCGGGCAGAAGAACAGCCAGCCTGAGCCGAAAGGGTGCCCCCCCCCAGATGTTGCCGGAAGTACAGTGGGATCCCCTTATCTGCGAGATTAGGATCGGTTGAGTCACCTATTCCTGATCTGAAGATGGAAACGATGGAAAGAAAAAAAATGCTAGAAATATAGATCCCGAAAGATGAAGTGACCAGAACTAGCCACTAGAAGAAGCCAGAGCTTTTGCTATTAAAACAGTGTCTTGTACTATCTGCGTTTTTCAGCAACTGGTGGGGGGGGCTTGGAAAGGATCCCCCGCGGATATGGGGGTCTCGCTTCAATGTGCTCGAGGAAGTCCCTGGTTCAGATCTTACCTATCCATAGGTGTCTTTTGGCAAGCAATGGTTTGCTCAGAGTATGCAGCCTGGGTACAGTAACAAAGGCCTACTGCGCAGGGTGGCTGTTCTTCTTCTCGGTCATTCCCCTTTGATAGGCAGGCTGGTCAAAGAGGTGCCCGCCTGTGACCTCATGACTTGCCCGGGGTCACACCAGCACCTTCCGAAACAGGCACCCCCTGCCTCGGCTGCCTGACCTGCCTGCCATTAAGAATGATTTTTTAAAACGGCACTAAATGCCATTTTAGGAAGGCGTCAGAAAAGAGCTGCGGCTTCAAAAGGAAGGAGAAGAAGCGGTACCGATTCCAGAGATTTCCTGCCAGGCGATGTCCATGACCAAATGGGCCATCTTGGGGCCCACCCCAGGCAGCTTGACCAGCTTCTCTACGGTCTGGGGAATGTCGCCCCCGTAGTCCCGCTTCAGGATGGCGGTGGTCTGCTTGATGTACTGGACTTTGCGCTGCGGTTAGCAAGGGGAGAAAAAGGGGGGACGGATTTAAGGTTGCAGGTGAGCAGAGGACAACGGGCCAGCCTGCCCTGGATCATTCGGCAGGGGCTCCCACTCTATACCCCCACCCAGCTGGCAAAGAAAGAAAGAAAAAAAGAAAGAAAGAAAAGAAAAGATAGATAGATAGATAGATAGATAGATAGATAGATAGATAGATAGATAGATAGATAGATAGATAGATAGATAGATAGATAGATAAGGAATGTTCTGCTTTAGTGCATTTTTTTTTGTTTTGCATTCTTTTTTGCAGAAAAAGAGAATAAACTGGGTATAAACTGGGTTACACAGCTCCCCACCCCCTAAAAAGAAGAATGTTCTGCTTTAGTGCAATTTTTTTTGTTTTGCATTCTTTTTTGCAAAAAAAGAAGAATAAACTGGGTATAAACTGGATTACACAGCTCCCCACCCCCTAAAAAGAATTAGAAGTAGAGTCCAGATTGGGGGGGGGGGAGAAAGTGAATCGAAACCAGTTCTTCCAGGGGAAACCTCCACTGAATGTCTAGAATCCTCCAGGAGAGGCAATTCACAGTCTATGCATGGGACAAACCTTCTCTGGATGCAATTGTTTCACATGCAAAAATACTCTTGAGTTTTCAAATCTGAACCAGCCTTCTTAATTTGGGCGCCACCAGAAGGCCAAACAAGTGGAATCAATCACAAGCTTCCTTCTCACCCATGTGGACAATCACAGCCTCCCATCAGAGCAAACGACTGACCTTCCAAAACCCCACGGGGTAAATGAGCTGGCCTAGAGTTGTGTCATCCGTCTCCAGGATGTTGTCCACCGTCAGGCCGTGCTCCCGCAGGCGCATCATGGCGGCCGACGTCACTTGATCTTTCGTCTGGCTGGAGAGCATGAGTGATAGCAGGACCTGGTAGCGCCTCACCTGGCAAATAACAGAGAGACGGATGGAGGAGAGCCAGGAGACAGGTGAAGGAGCCTGCAAAAATCCCTTAAGATCATTCCCGCGGTCAAACTAGGTCACACGCTTAGCTCGTTTTTAGAAGAGGTGCTCCCTCAAGGGAGAAAGAGGTCTGTGTGTCACAGCACATGATTTTGGTCATCACCATATCCTGAACTCTGCAGTTTGCAATAGTGATTTGTTCAGGAAACCTCATTCTCAGAAGTGGTTCAATCAGTGAAAACATGGATCCCCTTAATAATTTATTTGATCCTCAGTGACACCAAGCTGTTCGCCTCACCTCTGGAGGGGCGTCAGCATCAAAGCATTTGCCGGCCCCCATCTGATCGACGGGCGCATCTCTCTCCTTCCGCATCTCCTGGATATGGGCCAGCTGTTGCTTCCAGTTCTTTGGCTCCCATTTCGGCTTCTTGGCTTCCAGATCGTTTGCCTCCTCAGAGCCATCCCTTTCTGGAGGGTCATATGCGATGCCGACCTCCTTCCGTCTCCGGTGATGCTTTCTGCTCAGAGTTTCATCCACTGCTGGAACACGCAAGCAAGGAAAATACAAATCACCAGCCTGCAAACAGGCTTTGTCCCTCTTCCCTCCCTCTACGTGTCTGTGTTTTCTTTGTTACGGTTGTTCCCCCCTCCCACATACTCCCTCCCAGCACCCAGAAAAGCAGCTCCTTATATTTTTATTACTTCTTACCACTTATGTTCCAGGACAGGGGCGGGAGGAAACCTTTCAGGGACACAGAGATCCCTGGAAAGGGCACGCCAGGGCCGACTGGTGTGCTCACGTTCCACGGAAAGGGAGCCAAACGTGGAAAAAAAACACATTTCCTCTGCAGAAGCACGATCCGGACGCCCTGACTCCGCACAGGCTACACCTTGTGGTAAGCCGAGGGTTTGACATCTTATGGTTCTGTGCCCTTAAGAATCCACTTCCTTTGGTTGCTCGGCCCCTTTGCTCACCCCACTCCTCAGCTGCTCTGGAGGTGTTTGACAACATAGCTCATTGTCCCCAGCTTTTATTCCCTGGATATTGCCCTAGGTGCTCTAGAGAGGCCTGAATGGGGCCACCAGGGTCTGGGGATGCTGGGTTTTTTTAGGGGGGGGGAGGCTCCAACCCTCTCCCATCCCTGCCGGACCTTCCAGGCTGGTCAGCCATGGGGTGATGGGGATTCTGGGAGTTGTATTCCCAAAAGGGGCCCTTTCAGGCTCCAGCAAAGGATTCATTAACCTTGGACACCCTCCTCCTCCTCCTCCTCCTCCTCTTTTGGATCCATTTTAAGCCTACAAAAGGCAGGCAAGAAGAGCCCAACAATCCAGCTGGCCCAGGGGTTAACTCGCCCAGATCAGGATACATCCAGAGATGGAAAAGTTACTTCTTTCTTGGAAGGCAACTCCCAGCCTCTCCCAGTTCCCATGGTGGGTGGGAGAGGAGGGATTCTGGGTGCTGTTTGCTTTCTTTTTTTAAAAAAAAGTCAACTTTTCCATCACTTTCCCAGGGATGCAGATTTAAGCCCAGCTGGGAACTTCAGGGCACGACTAGAGGTGTGAAATTTCCGGGGGGGGGGGGAGGGAAATTTGGGGAAAT